GGAAGTCATGAACACCACTTGAGTGTCCTGAGTGGAGAAGGGCCCAAAGCTTGCTCTAGTTCTACCCTATTTAACTTGTCAATTTACATAGGTAACACTTTTCTAAAATGGCTAATATATGTATTCCTTCTGTCTGAATTATTCTATTTTTAGCTCATTTAAAAATTTGCAAATGGATGTTTGTTTTTGCTGTAGAAAAAAGTGGCAAGAATGAACTTACAGTTGTACCGAGAGAGGAAAAAATGGGAATTTTAACAAAAGGATATGCCAAAGAAGGTTTGAACTTACTATTTATAATATATTAAATGCAGAAAACCCCTGTATTTAAATAATTTCTACCATTGCAAAGTGAAGCATTCAGAAGTTAAGAAATGCTACAGGTAAGGGTTCCCATACAGTATTATTTTGGCCTCCTTGTGGATATATGTTTTGATAGTTTTGCTTAAAATCATATAGAAGGTCTGTGGCAGAGTCAGGAATACAACCCTGTGCCACTGCTTTAAAACCGTAAGAGAATAGCCTGTGCACTGAATGAGGCATGAGTCCTATAGCATAGTGTTTGGTCACATAATTAAACCTGTGCCATATTGTACGTGCACAAGAGGACCAAATTAAAATTTCATGATCATCCTTAATGCTGGCATTTCCTAGCTTTTTGGTGTTCAATTTTGCAACATTCTCGTCCTTTAAATTTAATTGCCTTGGTTTTTAAAAAAGCAAACTGTAGTAACAGAAATTTCTAATGCTGGCTTCAGAAGGGAGTGTGGTCTAGTGGGTACAGGCGACATAGTCACAGACATAGTTTTGTCACATTCATTTGTTTTGCAAAGGCTGCCATCTCTGGATGAGTCTTGGGTCTGCCATACTAGTGACAGAGTTCTATTCCCAGCTCTGCTTGAAGTGACCTTGTGCAACCTCTCAGTTACCCTAACTGTAAAATGGGAGGAATGGTAATTGCTTGCATCTTAAGTTAGGAGCATGAGTACTTGCTCATTGTAAGGGTTGTGAAGTGCACAGAATGGTGGAAGAGCTAAGATTAGGAATCATAGTTCTTTCTAAAGGCTGCTGCTGCTGCTGGGTTCCATCTAGAGCTGTGGACTGGGAGCATGCTCAGTGCAGATGCAATGTTTAGAGATTTTAGCAACAAGCCTCTAAAAACCTCTGCTGAGCATATGCAAATGCCAATTTTCATAGGCTTAGAGCTAGCCAAACCTGGGGTTTTTATGGGGCAGCAAAAGATGCCTCTAACCCCTTCCTATATTTCAAGTTTCTGGTCCAAACTATGGAGATGCTAATACTCTTTTTAAAAAAAAAAAAAAAAAACGGGGGGGGGAGGGGTGTCGGGCAGAAAAGTTATAATAGTAAAACTATCTATTCATTCCTCACACTTATTCTCTGAAAACAGCTAATCCATTTTTTCTGGGCTGGTACAAAAAAAATTCAGGCAGAGTCCAAGCATGGAAAATGTCAGCTCAAATGGTTAAAAGTGTGGCAAAGTTATAAGCAATTGAAAATAAGTGTTTATTATGAAAAATGTTAGGCATCTTTAACAATAGACATCACTCTGCCTATAATGAACACTTTATCCACTAGAAAGCAGGCTATAGTAAACAACCATGTATGTTTAGAAGCACTAATTTGTACTTCAGACTTCACTCATCTTTTTCTGTTAGTGCAAGAAAAACATATTGAGCCCAACCCTGCTCCTGCTGAAGTCAATGCAGAAATCTACAAAGCATTTAATTTGATAAAAAAAAATTAATCAAGATGTTGGAATAATTTCATCTTTTTTTAGAAAATTTGTTTAGAACCACTTACCTGTTTTCATTACCTAATATGCATTAGGTTTCTTGTACCTTAGCTGAGATTTTTTTAGGTTAACGGTGAGCAGGATATCTTGAGAAAGGTGAATTAAAATCCATCACACAAGAAGTAAAATCTAAATTTAAGGTACCGTACCTTGGAAGTATTTAAAAGTGCTGCTTGCTTGTTCATTGGGGGCAAAGCCATTGTGGATAAATCCAAATATATGTAAATGGTTTTATGAAATAATTTCAAACCTTATTGGGACTCCACAAGCACAGTGGCTCCAAACTAGAGTACTTCTTTTTTTCATCCAAACATAATTCCTATTCATGCATTGATCTTTTTAACACACTACTTTTAAAGCATATTAGTAAAATATGGAACAACATACTCTTCTATAAAATAGATGACATAAATATGTGGAATCACAACCGTCCCTTGTATAAAAGAGGGATGATCCGTTTATATTCTCTGGTAAACAAAAAAGCTGATAGGATAATTGTTTTCTGTTTAAATAACCCTGATTCATATCAGAAGTAAAAGGTGTTTGGAACCTTTAAACTATGATATTTGGGGAAGTTTATTATTTTGCATTCTGGAATATTACTGAAGTGTATTCTTGTGTAGACATTGTGTGTGAATGTGGAAGAGAAAAGAGTAGAGTTTTTACCCTGACTAGAAAGAGGGAACAACTTCTATTTGTTTCTAATCTGGAAGTATCCATCAAGTATCTCCAAGCTGGTCATTTTTGAGCAGGAAATCATGACATTGCTTTAGTGAACACATGGGGAGAATTAAACTCTATATGCAATGAAATACCAGTTGTTTATCTTGGGTACCCTCTTGCTTTCTTAAACACATACAAGATGGAAACACAGACTTTCTTTAACCTTTAGCTGCATAGCTTCACTGTACAGAAAACTGCTAAACAAAACCTGACAGAACAGTAAATCATTTGTGTTCATTTTATTTCATCACTGATCACATTTCCCGTAGACAATAAATGTAATGCTCTGTTGACAGATGTATGGAAATGGATATGCAGTTGGATGATGAGATCTGGGTCAAGACTGTTTAAATCTCAGTTTATGCCTTTGCATTATTGAATATTAGTTATAAAATTTGTACATGCTGGTGCGTGACCTCCTCCCTACACTTATAAGATTCCCACTACTCATCCAGACCATTGCTGGGGAGAGCATCCTGCCGAAAGAACTCTGGTGCATAGAGGGCCCATCTCAAATACTCATTGCAGTCAATGAGATTCTCTGTATTGGCTTTAAGGGGCTTCAGAGAAGGACCTTAATACATTGTTCCAGTTGTGATGTGATGTTTCCCAACATGGGAAAATGAAGGGCTTTCAGGTCTTGTATATAACCATATACCTTGGTACAAATGTATCTGAAGTAATTAGAATGTTCATCAAGTTATTTATACTATTAGGAGCACAAAATGAGGCTTCCCTTTGAGAGACAAGACAGGTTCAAACAGCAGGAGGTAGAAATTATGCGGGTATTTTTCCCCAGAGCATGCAGGAGATTAGCATGAGGGACAGAAAGCTACAAAGGGAAATTTTCAATGATTACATTAGGGACTAGACAAAAAGTGCCCACAGTATTGACACACCTGTCCCCTGCTCCTCCTGCCCTAAATAACCATTTAAATAGGAACTGGAGTTCCTATTAAATTGCCCCTTATACTCCATCTCCCTCACAGCCATCCTCACTCCTTTCAAAACAGGAAAATTGGAATCCCAATGAGATGCAAAATAATCTCTCTATTGGCCTTGGTAGAATACACATGGTAAATTATTTTTCTCTTGTAGCTGGCCTTGCAACTTTGTGGACAGTAAAGATGTTTTAGGGGTAGGGGGGAAGATCCATGTAATTAATTTGCAAATCGAGCAAGGAAAAGCAGCGCACACATTGCAAAGTGGATTGCAGTTGCCAATCTAGTATGGACTCTCTCCCCGCACACCTGGAGGCATACTGTTTGTGTTGTGAGTGAGGCAGCATGTCTCTTAGACCTATCACTGGTGGAGAACTGTGTACATCCCCTTGACATGGCTGTGATATTAAAAGTCGTGGTGGGGCTCTAAATTTGAATGAAAAATCTAAATCAGTGATACCATGTTTTGGAAATCATGACTTTCTAGGCTATATGGAAATAACACGTAATGAAAAAAATACATAAAACTTAACCAAACAAAAATGCATAAAATAATTGGATTAAATAAGCTTCCTATAGTACATAACAAATTCATTTGTTCTGTCATCTTTCTGTTCTCATTTATTAGGCACACAGTTATGACTAGTGGTTAGAATACAGAATGAGGAGTTGGAGGGCTTTGGAGATTATTTTCTTAGCTCTGCCGTGACGTGCTGTGTGACTATGGCCTATTCCTTTAACTTCTCCATGTTTCAGTTTCCCCCTTTTCAAAAGAAAGATGACAATATATATGTACCTAACTTATAGGTGTATTATGTGTGTTAATTGTATTGTGATACTTGTTTAAAAAGTAGAGAATATATTATTGTCTACATCTAATTATAAATAACTTATTCTTAAGTGTGGTGTAAAAATGATGCCAAAGACTTCAAAGAAACATACCTAGGTTATTAATCTAAGTATATCTAATTGACTTCTAAAATGGAGTTATAGTTATGTTATCATATTATTTTTAAAAATTCCTGAACTTTGTGTGCTGCAATACATTTGCTGCTCGCTGTCAACATGTGTTCGATTTTTTTGAGTATAGCTTTCAAGTAAGAGTGGCTGATGTTTCATAAAAGTAATAATTTAAAAGTAAAAAATATGTTTTCTATGGGTATTTAACATTCAATAAGTAATTGTTGTGGCTCACAAAAATAATAAATGAATAAAGTTAAACATCATTTCTGATGTCATCATGGAAACTTCAAACTTTGGTAACAGTATTTTTGCTAATAAAGAATAGCTACAGGTTTGTTTTCCAATAAAATAATATCTTTGTCCTTTTTAAGGTGCAAATGCTGATATTTAGATTGTAAACTCTTTAGGGATGGAATCATATTTGGTTGGGGGGGGTACAGTGCTTTACACAGTGAGAGCTCAAACCTTGATTGGCGCTTCTAGGTATTATTGCAATACAAATATTAAATGTTGTTGTTTTATTTTATTTTATTGGGTCCCTGTGTTGCTTCCTTTTCTAACAGGTCTATGGAAATGCAGGATCTAACAAGTCCTCATAATCTTGTTGGAAGCAGTGATAATCCGAGTAGTTCCAAACTGGATAAATCTAATCTCAGCAGCACGTCCATCACAACAAATGGAACAGGAGGTAAGTGTAAGACATCATCAATGCACAGAAAGTTGCTATATGTCCTTTTTCTATTTTTAATAAACTTTTTAAGTTTAGCATTTCAATTTAATGATGAGCATAAGGCTGATGGATAGATAGACAGACAGTTATCAGCCCTCAGCAAAAAAAGATGAACAATAGAACATTTCAAATTTGTACAGTTGTTTCCATTTAATTCTGTTCAACAACTTGAAACTGAATGAGGAAAGACATTAGGTCCAGAGACTCAGTTGTCGGCAAGTATTGAAAGTATAACATAAATAATGGTTGTAACATACCAGTCTTTTTCAAATCTTCATTGTATATTGCTCAAACCATAGAAATCCTAGAAAGGAACCTTGTCAGATCATCTAGTCCAGCCCCGTGCACTGAAGCAGGATCAAGTATACGAAGACCATCTCTGACAGCTATTTGTCTAACCTGTTCTTTAATGACTACTACTATTACTTAAGTTATTACTTAAATGATTACTGCTCCGTGTACCTCTATAAAGACATTGCTGAAATTTAGGTCAATCACAGTTCTGTTTTCTATGCTAATAATGGATTTTGCTGCCCTTGGTCTGGTGAGTAGTCTGAATGCGACACTGCACAGTGTGAGCAAGGGTATCAGACTACGAGGTGAAATCCTGGCCCCTGTTGTGTCAATGAGTGTTGTGCCATTGATTTCAACAGAGCCAGGATTTCACCCATGGTTCTTAGATGTTGTACATTAGTGTGCACTACACTTGTATTTTAGCATTTTACACCAAAATCTTGGTCATTCAGTTCTTTCTTTCCACAATATAAAGTTTTATTCACTTCTCTGTATGCAAAAATTCCATTAATGTCTCTAAAAATTTACATGTGAGCATGGAGGGAATAGACCCCTCTAGTGATATCTTTAAGATTCAGTCTATTCACATTTAAAAACCAAATACCAATATTCCAGAATAAGGAGGGGCTGAAACTAGACCGGTAAGAGCACTAATAATTATATGTGTATATTTTATTTAAATAAACCAGCTAGAATAATATTCACAAAAGCAATACCATGCAGCTAAAGACTAGGCTCAAAGGGCAAAAACACCTACTGGCATTAAAGAATATTCATGTATATTGAGCAGACATTCAGACAATGAACCATTATACCATTCCCATTCTCAGGAGACAACATGACTGTTTTAAATACTGCAGACTGGTTGCTGAGTTGCAGCACTCCCTCTTCTGCAACAAGTATGAGAGATCATGGTATAGTGCATGTGTGTGACTTTGTGGCTCCATGACTGCTGTGTTACATTTCTCCTGTTTTGTTTCGTTCTTTTGTTCTGTGGTTTAGAACATTTTTATGTGATTTCCTACTTCTCAGAGTCCTTTTGCAGAGCTGGAAAACCAGAAAGAAGCAGTAACAAACATTTATTTTACCATACTTGTTAAGCCATTTCACTAGTAACAAGAATTTTAATTGTCCTAGAATGAGGTTAACTGTATACATCCTCATAATCTGATGGCATTGTTTTCAGAGAGGCTGAGCACCCACAGCTCTGATTGACATCATTGGGAGCAATGGATGCTCAGCTTCCCTTGAAGCCAGATTAATGTTTTTTCCGCTGAATGTCCATTTATCTTTTTTTTTATTTTTAGGTACTATATTACATGCTTACCTGAGCACAAATCAAGGTTGTAAATGTATTGGGCACTTTACAAACATTTTTATGATCCTACAACCAGTTACTACCACTCATTCCTTTCCTCCCATATGCATTATTATTGTTTTCTTCGTATTTTGGTAACATCTAGGGGCCCAATCGTAGAACATGGCCCTACTGTGATAGATACTATACAAACACATAAGAAAATGATGGTCTCTGCCTCAAAGAGGTTACAATCTAAATTTAGTTTAAATGTGGATATGCATGGTAGTAACTGTTTACAGGATTGGGTTGAGAGGCACATACATGTTTTCAAAGGGGCATCAACCTAGACTCTTAAATTTGCAATTGCAATTTTGTGCACACAAAACCGTGCAACTAGATTTATATACAAATTAGTCGTACTTCTGCTCAAACAAAAATACAGGCTTTTACACTTACAATTACATGTGGAAATACAGAGTATGTCATTATCACAGAGTTAACTCAGGCTCTTACTTACGTCTGTTACCCCAACACCCCCACCTGACCACACACAAAGCTGTCTTTCAACCCGATGCTTTCATCCCGGGCTAACTGGCTTGTCTGCGGTATTGGCTAAATCATGGATGTTGCTTTCACTCAGGTTGGTAATCTATCCACATTGCAGTGAGGACTCAGTATAAATCACTCGAGTGCTGGTAGTTCTCCAGTGCCTTCCCACATTTCCTGCCATGTGCACAGAAGGACAGATGAGTTCTCTCATAATTCACTGTGAAAGAATCATAGAGTGGCTCATCTTACAGCAGGACAAATCACCATGGGATATGCCCCCAGAAATCCTCCTCATACCTGAATGAGTACAGCACCAGCGAGGACACAGGAACGTGTTGGTCTTTGCAGTGTGGCTGTTCACACCCAAGTAAGGCTAATGCAGGTGCTCAGACCCAGGTGCCGATCACCTAGGGTGGCCACTCTCACATTCCTGGAATACTGGACATTCTGGCAATTCCTGCCAGAGTGACTCTGCCCCAACCGTGTTAGTCTGTATCAGCAAAAACAACGAGGAGTCCTTGTAGCACCTTAGAGACTAACAAATTTATTTGGGCATAAGCTTTCATGGGCTATAACCCACTTCATCAGATGCATGGAGTGAAAAATACAGTAGGCAGGTATAAATATACAGCACATGAAAAGATGGGAGTTGCCTTACCAAGTGGGGGCTCAGTGCTAATGAGGCCAATTCAGTCAGGGTGGATGTGGCCCATTCCCAACTGTTGACAAGAAAGGATGGGAAAATTAGTTTTTGTAGTGACCCAGCCATTCCCAGTCTTTATTCAGGCCTACTTTGATGGTGTCAAGTTTGCAAATTAATTCCAGCTCTGCAGTTTCTTGTTGAAGTCTGTTTTTGAAGGTTTTTTTGCTGAAGAATTGCCACTTTTAAGTCTGTTGTTGAGTGTCCAGGGAGATTGAAGTGCTCTCCCACTGGTTTTTGAATATTACAATTCTTGATGTCTGATTTGTGTCCATTTATTCTTTTGTGTGGAGACTGTCCAGTTTGGCCAATGTACATGGCAGAGGGGCATTGCTGGCACATGATGGCATATATCACATTGGTAGATGTGCAGGTGAATGAGCCCCTGATGGTGTGGCTGATGTGGTTAGGTCCTATGATGGTGTCCCTTGAATAGATATGCAGACAGAGTTGGTAACGGGGTTTGTTGCAGAGATTGGTTCCTGGGTTAGTGTTTCTGTTGTGTGGTGTGTGGTTGCTGGTGAGTATTTGCTTCAGGTTTGGGGGCTGTCTGTAAGCGAGGACTGGCCTGTCTCCCAAGGTCTGTGAGAGTGAGGGATCGTCCTCCAGGATAGGTTGTAGATCCTTGATGTTGCACTGGAGAGGTTTTAGTTGGGGGCTGTAGGTGATGGCTAGTGGCATTCTGTTACGTTCTTTGTTGTGCCTGTCCTGTAGTAGGTGACTTCTGGGTACCTTTCTGGCTCTATCAATCTGTTTCTTCACTTCCCCAGGTGGGTATTGTAGTTTTAAGAACACTTGATAGAGATCCTGTAGGTGTTTGTCTCTGTCTGAGGGATTGGAGCAAATGCGGTTGTATCTTAGGGCTTGGCTGTAGACAATGGATCGTGTGATGTGGACTGGATGAAAGCTGGAGGTATGTAGGTAAGAATAACAGTCAGTAGGTTTCCAGTATAGGATGGTGTTTATGTGACCATCGCTTATTTGCACTGTAGTGTCCAGGAAGTGGATCTCTTGTCTGGACTAGTCCAGGCTGAGGTTGATGGTGGGGTGGAAATTGTTGAAATCCTGGTGTAATTCCTCAAGGCCCTCCTTCCCATGGGTCCAGATGATGAAGATGTCATCAATGTAGCACAAGTAGAGTAGGGGTACTAGGGGACGAGAGCTGAGGAAGCGTTGTTCTAAGTCAGCCATAAAAATGTTGGCATACTGTGGGGCCGTGCGGGTACCCATAGCAGTGCTGCTGACTTGAAGGTATAAATCATCCCCATATCTGAAATAGTTGTGGGTGAGGACAAAGTCACAAAGCTCAGCCACCAGGTCTGCCATGATATTATTGGGGATACTGTTCCTGACGGCTTGTAGTCCATCTTTGTGTGGAATGTTGGAGTAGAGAGCTTCAACATCCATAGTGGCTAGGATGGTGTTTTCTGGAAGATCACCAATGGATTGTAGTTTCCTCAGGAAGTCAGTGGTGTCTCGAAGATAGCTGGGAGTGCTGGTAGTGTATGGCCTGAGCAGAGAGTCCACATAGACAGTCCTGCTGTCAGGGTGCCAATGCCTGAGATGATGGGGTGTCCAGGATTCCCAGGTTTATAGATCTTGGGTATCAGATAGAATACCCCTGGTTGGGGCATTAGGGTTGTATCTGTGTAGATTTGTTCCTGTACTGCTTCAGGGAGTTTCTTGAGCAGACTGTGCAGTTTCTTTTGGTACCCCTCAGTGGGATCAGATGACCAAAATGGTTGATCTTGTATGCATGGTGCATTCCGTTTTCAAGAGCACCCATCCCGCACCAGCTGCACGTGCGGTCATGCCGGCAGGGGTGGAGCAATATGCTGTTCAAAATGGTAACTCCTGTCCAATAATGCAGAAAACCACTTCTGTTTTTGTCCCACTACCAGACAGGGGACAAATCTCTCAAAAAGAAGACCGTCCTGTATAAAACCGGACAAGTGGCGTCCCTGTGATCATCTGATTTAACTCTGTAATGAAGACATACCCTTAGAGGCTGATTTTGGAAGTTTGCCTGAGCCAAATTTTCAAACCCTTTCTATGAAGTTGGATTTTCATGCTTTGGTCACTCGAAGTTCTTTGCAGATATAGGGTTTGGAAATGCAAAATCCTGCATGCACAGTTTTGGAGGTCAGTGTTGAGGCCCACTGAAAACACGGTCCCATATGTTATCCATTTTAAGTAATGAAACCCATTTTTGTATTGTATAATTGAAATATCTCAAGATAATGTGTAGAATTGTTCTTAGTACACACACAAATTCCAACCATAATCTATTATTCTGAAAGGCCCCATCTTGCAGAATATGACACACATGCTTAACTTTGCAGTTTGGGACCAAAGTTAATAAGGTTTCAGAAAGTTGACTTTTAAAAAAAAGAAGTTTGAAATGACTTTGTATATGCAAGTCAGCCACTTTAAGGTATTACAAAAATATCTTATATGCATTCCACAAAGGAAGTGCTGTGCCAGAATAAATGGCTTACTATGGGGGCTAGAATATCTCCTCTATTCTAATCTGTTATTTTAGTAGGTACAGGTGAAGGAAAAAGTACATTGCCACATACAGCTTAATTCCTAACTAAGCAGCAAGGGGGAAATCCAGTGGGCAGGTACATGCTATCCTGGGAGGTGCTCAGCCTAGTACATAGGGTTCTCCTTTGAATCCCACTCTCTCAGAGGGCAGTTGGATCACTAGTCCTATGCCTTTTAGATCTTTGTGTCTTGTTGGTGGGGCCTCTCTATGTGGTGTTCTCACTGCCTCGCTGCATCTGTGGTTGCATAGTATTTGCTTGGCAAACTGTGTGTGATAGTGTATTTGCCACACCTATTGAGTTATGACATCGGATGTGCATGGCTGCTCTTGGTCTGTTCCCTTCATGTGTTTTTCTCACTCCCATCAACCTCAAATGTTCTGTAACTGTCTTTCTCTGCCAGCCCAGTTAGCACTCGATCAGGTCCCAGCTAATGATAACCCAGCCCAGCATGTACCCTTCCTTGGTTGCTCCTGGCCTCTGTAGTGAGATGTATTGCACTGGCGTCACAGGCTGCTTCTCCCATTGCAGTCAGTGTATAGCATCCCACCCTAACTGGAAAGGCTGCTTGGCTATCCTGAATTTTTTCAAACCCCCTGCTGCTGGTTTCGGGAGATACTTTGTGTATCCTGTCGTCTTCCATTGGTCTTTGAGTGACATCCTCACTGCCTGTCAGCTACTTCTCTCCATTATCACTGGGATCCCCCACAGCAATTTAAGGATTTCTAGGAAAGTCCTAGGGCTTGGATGTTAAGTGAAAGGAGAGCATCAGACATCTGATTAACTGTCTTGGACATCTCTCTG